GGGGGGGGGGGGGGGGGAGGGGTGGTCCATGGTGTGTGTGGGGGGGGGTCGCTAGTGCTGCTGGAGGCTGTTGCTGCTGGGATGCCTGGGACCCTCTGGGAGGTCACCACCGCTGCTACTGCTGAGGACTGAGCTCATGTCGTCTGCCAATGGCTCCCAGGATCTTTCCCAATTACCTAGCATGAACCTGAATTTAGGGGTCTGGTGACCCAGCCTGGTATATGAGGGGTTTGGTGACCCAGTCTGTACAATGGGTTTGAAGGGTCTGAGTCCTAACCCTGACAGTACAAATGGAAACTTAGTATACTAAGATAATGAAATGTTTTGGCTTTAGTTATGAAATGCTTAAGCTATTGCCTCAACCCAACAATTGGCATAGTCTTGTAGCAATACATCAGTATTTCCCTCCTTTTTAAGGTCAAATGATATTCCATTGTATGTACTGTATATATACCTCTTTTTTGTTTTTAACTTCTCTATATACATTGTAGTTGATTTTTGTGTCCTTTTACCCGTTCCTCATATATTTTGATCCATTCACCTGTTGATGGATGTTTGGGTTGTTTCTATCTTTTGGCTATTCTGAATAATGTTGCTGTGAATACTGGTATATGAATATCTTTTCAGCTCCCTGCTTTCAATTCTTTTCGGTATATACCCCAAAGTAGAATGGTTAGATCATATGGTAATTCCATGTTTAATTTTTAAGGGACCTCCAGACTGTTTTCCACAGTGGCTGCACCATTTTACATTCCCACCAACAATGCACAGGGTTCCAATTTCTTCCTGTCCTCATTAACACTTGTTATTTTCTGTTTTGTTTTTGTTTTTGATAGTAGCCATTGTGGCCAGGTATATCTTGAGTAAGGAGGTTTTATTCAGCAGAGACAATCCCTGAAGAGGGCTGACAGCTGAGAGCTGTCTCCCAGTAGTACTTCGAGAAACTGATTATAAATCCTTCATTCCTGAAGGAGGATCTGAGTGCAGGCCACCTGGCAAGGCTGCTTTCATCTTGGTGTGGGTTTCTCTCATCTCAGCGGGTAATACAGTTCTTGAGGGACCAGCAATCACCATCCCAGGTGGTTTATTGCTAAGAAACGCAGATTTATGTCAGATGCATCAAACTAACCAGGAGATTGTTTAGAGACTGCATTCTGGAGGCGAAATGCACAACTTGACTGCAAAAGTAAGGACCCAGCTAATGTGAACTTATAGAGAGATTATTTCTTGACTCTTTCAAGAGATTTTTCTCTGGGATTTAGTGCGTGGGAGTAGGGGGAGGTGGGCTGGCATGGCACTGTTCCTACCCGGGCTGAATGAGCAGCACTCATGATAAAAGAAAAGCAACAGCCTCCTGAAGTGAGTAGAATTTTTGTTTCTTGATTAGTAACAAAAATTATTATCTGGCATAGCTGACCTTTTCTTTTATTCCTTGTTTTCTGCCTCCTCGTGTTGGTGCCCTGCCAGTTCTTGACTTCCCATCTTCCTAATAGGTCATGGTGTCCCAGTGTTATAGACCTGACCCCTTCACCTTACAGTTTGGAGGTCTGGGACCCACTCAACAACGTGGCTTTCATGTTTAGCCCCTAATAAGGCAACTTCCCTATTGCTGAGTGCTCCCTCCTCAACCACTTCAAGGTTAATCCTGT